GGATGATTCTGATATGGACAGCGAAAATGAAGATATCGATGAGGGCGATTTTTTGGAAAATGTAATACAGCAGACACTGCATAAAATGGATGAAAATGGCATTGATATTGAGTTGATTGAGAAGGTTGCTGAGGATGGGATAGAACTAAGTAGCGAARCTATAAACGAAGAAACAGCACAGGTAGTTGAAAAAATTAACTTAGATGGTTTGAGATGGAGAAGTATTGGAATGAATGATTGCGATACTTCTTGGAAAAAAAAGTCATCTGCGGTGAGTGTAAAGATTCAYTAGCATATTTTGTCGACTTYTTTGATGATGAAATTATTGAAAAGATCTGTGCTGAGACGAATATCTACGCGATGCAAACAAGTGGACTTGAACTGAAATGTGAACCTTACGAAATAAAGAGATTTATCGGTGTATTACTGTACCTAGGTGTAGTGAAAATACCTCAAATGAGAATGGCATGGGCGCAAAATTTCCGACTTACAGCGATAACAGAATCATTTGCAAGAAATCGTTTTGAAAAAATAAAGCAATATTTCCACATCAATGATAATTCTACACAAATCGAACTGAAATCCGAAAAGGAGTTGAAGAAAAGCGGACGAGGATCAAGTGACTTCAAATTTGAGCTTGCTCACAATTTAATTATTTGTCGGTGGTACGATAACAAGATTGTACAACTTCTTTCGAACTACATAGGTGAGAGTCCGATGAGTGAATGTAAACGATGGTGCCGAAAAGAAAGAAAATATGTGACTATCCCTCGTCCAGGTATAGTTGATTGCTATAATAGACATATGGGAGGAGTTGACCTTGCCGACATGTTACTAGAACTATATAAAATCAAACACCGTTCAAAAAAGTGATATATGCGAATTGTCTACTGGTGCATAAACTCTGTGGTAGTCAACAGCTGGCTTTTGTACCGAAGGGACATAGCAAATAACACGGGTGGAAAGAAATTCATGTCACTGCTCGATTTTCAGCTTGATATCGCAAATGAGCTAATGCACGCAACAAATATAACGTTTATACCACGCAAAAGAGGTCGCCCATCGTTACTTTCCCTGAGTTCGCCAGCTTCAACTTCACCAGCTAGATCATCATCAGCTATATCCTCATCTCCATCATCATCAGCTGCCTCTACAAGCTCCGGTAAAAGAGCGTATGTTCCAAACCCGGAAAACAGTAAAAAGTACGACCAAACGGGACGTTGGGTCGAATGGGGTTCAAAG